TGCAAGGAAAGCAGCAGAAGCAGCAGAAGTCTTTCTTTCTCTCCCCCCAATTCCACCAGAAATGAGTCTTTGTGAGTCTTGTCATGCTGGTCAGCCTCTTGGAGCAAGGATGCCTTGCAGGGTCCCAAAGACTCATTTCTGGCGGAGTTTGGGAGAGAGAAAGAAAGACTTTTGCTGCTTTCCTTGCGTGCAGCCAAAAGCAGAAGTAAGAAGCAGAAAGCAGCAGCCTGGTGGCCAGGCCAGGCATGTGGGGTGAGTGGGGCAAGTTCCCCCCCTCCGCCCTTTCCCCCCTCCCCTCACTACCTTGTGTTGTTCACAATGCAAGCGACACAAGCCTTGTGTTCCCGCAGGCCATGTGGGCGGCGCAGCCTTGTGTTCCCACGCAGCATGGATGAATTGCTTTGGGGGGGGGGGACATTTCTCTGTGGACCACCAAAATTTTCTCATGGACCACCAGTGGTCCCCGACCCACTGGTTAGCGACCACTGGTCTGATCTTTTCAAGGCTTCTAAGCTTCTATCAATCCAGAACTAATGGGGTTTTAAGTTCCAGGATGGCAGTTTATTAGAAGTCCTGCACCCTCAAAGAACTGTTAAGATCAACTATTTTCCATAACTATTTGTGGCATGGGAAAATAATAATAATACAGGTTTAAGAGGAGAGTTGAAAATGAAGATATGCCTACGAAAAGGGAAAGCAAAATCATCCTGGCTTCTCTTTCTGATCGGTGCGGGGCATCTTACCTGGCAAATGTCAGCCGTCTTATAGAAGGTCTTCTTGTCGATGGTTTTCAAGCTTTCCATGGTGCAAGGCAAGTCCACCAACTTAGCAGCTAAGGGGACCTGATCTACTCGCACAATTCCGTGACGGCCATCCGCTGCAGGGACAGGGAAACGGGAGAATTGCTTATGTTAGGAGTGTCAAAAAAACCTCCAGGCCCCACAGGCTGGACCCAGCCCACGGAGGTGCTTAGACCTGGGAAGGAATGAAAAGCACCTGATGTTGTCCCTTTACCATGCAATTCAATTGTGAGCCTGTCCTTCAAGTTGACGCTCCCAGACTGAACAGCCCTCCGCACCGTAGAAGCATATTCCTAAGCAGAGAGGCAGCAAGAACCAGGGTCAAAGGGAAAGTTGGTAGGTGATGTTAGCATTTACCCATTTGGGTTGGATTAGAAGACCTCCAAGGTCCCTTCCAACGTTCTGTTCTATTCTATTCTTCAAATTCTAAATTCTATTCTACTCTATTCTAAATTCTAATTCTATTCCCATTGCATTCTTGTATTCTGTTCTATTCTATTCTTATTCCATTCCATTCCACTTCACTGTACTCTACTACTGTTCTGTTCTATTCTATTCTTCTACTCTATTCTATTCTTATTCTATTCTTCTATTCTATTCTAATTCTATTCCTACTGCATTATTCTATTCTATTCTATTCCCTGCTTCTTATTCTATTCTATTCTATTCTATTCTAATTCTATTCCTACTGCATTATTCTATTCTATTCCCTGCTTCTTATTCTATTCTATTCCTTCTCTATTCTATTCTATTCTTCTATTTTATTCTATTATAATTCTAATTCTATTCTTCTATTCCTATTCCTATCCTATCCATCGGGTCACTTACCGAAGGCAGCCGCAAAATAAACTGGCTCTCTAACTCATGGGGGATGTTATCCTTGTTCTTGGTCATCTTCACTTCTTAGAGGTTGAGAAAACAAGAAAAAAAAAAAAAAGGCAGAGTTACCCAACCATTGAACAAGCGCTTATCCTGAGCACTGCTACGCAACTTGCTGAGCTGCTAGCAATCACACAACAGTGGTGCATACAAATGTATTCCATCCGGAAGCACATTATTGAAGAGAACCAAGGCATTACACCATGAGTTGAAGCTAATGTCTATGGGGATCATCCAGGTCATCTTTATACCAAAGAGACTTTTCCAAAAAGCAGCTGGACTTTCTTGTTGTTGTTTTTCCTTGAGAAGGACGAGAAGCGAAACATTTTCAAGAAAAGGAGGGAGAAGGGGAGAGATCTCTCACTGGAAAATCATCATGGAATTAAATCAGTGTAATGGGATGCTTAAAATATTGGATGGGGAAATCAGAAAGATTTCAGTTTGAGAGTTCATGGAGATTCTGTCATTGAGGTTACGGTTGTCCCAAAGATGCTTTTTCAAAAGGCAACTGGACTTTCCTTTGAAGAGGTTTCACTTCTCATCCAAGAAGCTTCTTCAATTCTGACACCTGAAATCTACCTGCGCTCCAGTTGCTACGGTTGAGAAACCCGGCTCTACGGTCAAATCCACAGAGGGAATGTTGAAAGTCAGAACTGAAGAAGCTTCCTGGATGAGAAGCAAAACGTCTTCGAGGAAAAACAAAGGCCAGCTGCTTTTGGAAAAACTCCTTTGGGACATGTGCTGGAGCCCCAGTTTCAGCTTTGGAGGCCAAGGATGCAACAGACACCATTAAATTTGAAAGCAGAATGGTTTTCCTTAGCTCATCACATCCGTACGGCTTATTTCCATTAATTAACTAAAGACGATGATGTTGCTTCTACTTAAAAACCAGAATACATTAATGTTTGCATAGCTGCAAAAAAAGGGCAGCTTTTCTGTCTTTTCCTCTCCCTGCCCATCTTAAGCGCCTTCTTAGCTCTTTCAAATAAGGTGCCACCGGGAGGCCAGAAATACAGATTAAGAAGAACACAGCAGAACTCAATGGTTCGAGGCATGAAAATGCAGACATTGGAGATCCTGCCACTTGCTGGAGCACGTAAAGGAAGGAAAGATCCGCTCCCGTTAAATTAGTACCGTAACAAGAATGATTCGATCCACGTTCGTAAAAGCTGGCAAAGCACAGCCATCACGCACACACAAAACCCCAGGAAACTGCAGTTCTCCTGGGCATCATTTCAGGAAAGCAGAATAGCTTTTGTGCCCAAATCAGCACATGAGAGAGAGAGAGAGAGAGAGAGAGGGAGGGAGGGAGGGAGGGGGAGGGAGAGAGAGAGAGAGAGAGAGACCCACCACCAGAGAAACGTAAAACAAACACATTACTTGCAGACGCCATTCCTCCTCTTCTTGCTCCACGCAAAGGTTTATAAAAACTTGTATCATTCAAAAATACTAAACGTAAATGCAAAGAAAGAGAGTTAAAAAAAAAAAACAATAACCAGGGACTATCTGCCGATCAAAGTAATTACTATGTAAGGGGGGTTTATTAGACACATCATATGGTCCATCCGCAGCAAAATTTAAGAAGCACAAT